AGGTTTTTCTTTTCCAGAATGTCATAGAGTTGGAATCGCACGGTGCGTGGCTTTCTCTGATGAGCTTCTCTGACACGGTCACATACATTTAAGGTTCGTCATGTCTTTTCGTGGCTGGACGGCTCGTTTCCTCTTAGTGCTGACTAAAATTCCGCTGTCTGGATGGACACGGTTTATTTATCCGTCACCTGCTGAAGGGCATCTTGGTCACTTCCAAGGTTTTGGGGATTATAAAGAAACCTGCTGTAAATATTTGCGTGCAGGTTTTTGTGTCCATATATATTCTCGTAGAAGCCGCATTGTTTTTCTTTAATTTATTTATTTTAATTAGCTTTGAGTATACAGTACATTGGTTAGACATCTAAATAGCACATAAAACGGTCTCCCCGATTGCTCCCTCCCTCCCCTGGCCCTCCATCATATTAACGCTGACCACATTCCCTCTACCGTGCTCCCCACCCCCGTGACCATCCATCAGCTACTGATTTGTACTTCTTTAACCCGTCACCCCATTTCCCAGCTTCCCAATCCCCCCTCCCCTCTGTCCAACACCGAATTGTGCACTCTATTTGTGAGTCTGTTTTGGATTAGTTTGTTCTTTTTAGTCCTTAGATTCATATAGTGTTTACCTTTCTCTGTCAGACTTAAATACCTTCTGGGTCCATCAAAACAATATCTTTTTGCATCCTCTTCCTTTTAGTCTGTGTGTGTCTTTTAATCCGAAGTGAGTCTCTTGTAGACACCATGTAAGGGTCTTGTGTTGTTATCCATTCATCACTCTATCTTTTGGTCGGAGCACTTAATTCTTTTCCATTTGAGGTCCTGGTTGATAGGAATGTAGTTGCTACCATTCTTCATTCCTGTTTTTGATACATGTTCTTTCTTCTTAAAGAAGTTCCCTCCAACACTTCCTGTAATACTGGCTTGGTGGTGATAAATTCCTTTAGCTTCTTCTTGTCTGGGAAGCTCTTCATCTCTCCTTGGACTCTAAACGATAGCTTTGCGGGATAAAGTTCTTGGTTGTAGATCTTGGGTCTTCATCACGTCGAGTATTTTGTGCTAAGCCCTTCTGTCCTGCGTAGTTTCTTCTGAGAAATCAGCTGCCAGTCTTATGGGTGCTCCCTTAGAGGTAAATAACTGCTTTTCTCTTGCTGCTTTTAAGATTCTTTCTTTGTATTTAATCTTTGGCATTTTAATTACAATGAGTCTT